TGGGAAGAGGGGGCCATTCGGTCCAGAGGACACTGGACTCAACCCAGGCCCGGTGGTCACGGACCCTTTTCAGCCACCCCCCCAGCTAAGGTGGCCTTAAGGCTCATCAATACCCCATTCAGTCCTCTAGTAGAACTGGCCCAGTTCTGCCACCCTTACTCATATTGAGAAGTACCTGATCAGCCAAGTAGTCACACTGATTTCAACAGGACTCATGGACTAAGGAGCTATTCAACGTGAGTACGGATGGCAGAATCCGCCCCAAAGTTTCTGAATTCCGACCCACCATATGGCAAAATAAAGATTAAACCAGTAACACAGCAAAGCAATTTTGAGGAGACTTTGTATATTACCAAATGGCCAGGGATGAATACAGCCCCAACATGATGCTGTTCTGAGACATAAGGATGCAGTTTTTTTCATTGCGTTGTATGAATTCCAGGCATTCTTTAAATGACTTAAATGAAAATCCTGTAAAAGAAATTTGCATTAGAGAAGCTGTTTCCCCTTCTGGTGGGGGTGTATTTCCCTGTTCTAAAACTACCATAAGTACAAAGATAGTCAAGAGGGATCTTGGAAGTAGCTGAATCACCTGGCATAAAAAATCCTCAGATCTCAATGAAAATCTAAAAGAAATGTTGCAAGATTTGAGTTTTAACTGAGCTCCTTGGGGCTGTCACAGGCTCTGTATCAGTGGTCTCTAGTGCAAGGGGAGAAACCCCATACTGGGCAGAAAAAATGAAAGCCTCATCACCCAAGCATGCAGTCCATTTTAAACTGCCCATGTTTCTGTAACACCGACAGACTCCAATTGTCAGCAGCTGGGATCGAATCTGAGACCTCTGGAGCTTAGTGCATGAGCCTCTACTGCATGAGCTAAAAGCCAACTGGCTGCTAGCTAAGGTTGTACAGCAGACTCATACTCTCGCTCTAAGTGGTCTCGGTGCCACTAGATGGGACAGAATACCACACTCAGCAGCATAGGCGTGCACATGGGGTGTGCCGGGTGTGCCCAGGCACACCCTAATGCAGGGGTGGGCAAATGGCCCCCTGTCATAACTATAAAGGGAAGGGTAACAGCTGTCCTGTGTACAGTACTATAAAATCCCTCCTGGCCAGAGACTCCAAAATCCTTTTCCCTGTAAAGGGTTAAGAAGCTCAGGTAACCTGGCTGGCATCTGACCCAAAGGACCAATAAGGGGACAAGATACTTTCAAATTTTTTT